AAGGATCGTGCTAAAAGCTATTTCCGAAAGTGCCGACAAGAAGATCACCAGGAACGACTTTCTCAACACGGCGGCAAGGGAGACGAGATTTTCATTGTTCACCCCATTGGAGGCCGACATCATATTCCATTTTGCTGGATTGGGAAATTCCTCGGGGAGGTTGTCGAGACGCGATTTTTCTCAACTCTTAGATCCCAAGTGGAGAAGGCAACCCGAAGCGAAGCCGACAGTCGAGATACCGGCGAAAGGTCGTCACGGATTTTTGTGGGAGGTTTTACATCAAGTATATTCGTTTGCCTTGGGTTCAATCGCCGGATCCGTGGGTGCAACCGTCGTGTATCCTATCGATCTGGTGAAGACGCGCATGCAGAATCAAAGATCGAAGGTGGTAGGCGAATTATTATATCAGAACAGCATAGACTGCTTTCGAAAGGTTATGAAGAACGAAGGTATACTCGGACTCTACAGCGGTCTCGGTCCTCAGTTGGTGGTAAGTTAAGATCATAACCTCCGAACAGCTATAGATTTCTTTTACTTTTTCTTTTTTTTCATCAATGATGTTCGCAGCGTTGACGAGTTCACTCCTTCACCTTGATCATCCGACGTGCACAGGGTGTAGCGCCTGAGAAGGCTATTAAATTGACCGTAAATGATCTCGCGCGATCTTTGCTGAAGAATAAGGAAACCGGCGAAATCTCGTTGTCATTAGAGATGTTGGCGGGTGGTACGGCGGGTGGTTGCCAAGTGGTGCGTATCGATCGTTCGTTGAGAGTAGTAATAAGGGTCCTCTTACCGTGATGATTGTTCCTCACTCGAATGCATTTGTAAATCGATTTCAGATATTTACCAACCCATTGGAAATCGTGAAGATTCGACTTCAGGTACAAGGTGAAGTGGCGGAGCGTCGTTCCGCAATTTCGATCGTGAAGAAACTTGGTGTCCTCGGCCTTTACAAAGGGGCGAGCGCGTGCCTGCTCCGTGACATACCATTCTCCGCGATATATTTTTCTTCTTATTCACACATTAAAAAAGACTTGTTCAGCGAAGGACCTGAGAAAAGACTGAGCATGGGAGAATTACTGTCAGCGGGTGCATTGGCCGGAATGCCGGCTGCTTACTTCACAACGCCGGCGGATGTGATTAAAACCAGATTACAGGTAGAGGCACGTGAAGGCCAAACCGTATATAAGGGTATAGCGCATGCGGCTAAAACGATATTCAAGGAAGAAGGCTTCAAGGCATTCTTCAAGGGTGGACCAGCTCGCGTTTTTAGGTCTTCGCCTCAGTTCGGTACCACCTTGATGGTTTACGAATTGTTGCAAAGATGGCTCCCATGGAATCCTGCCGAAGAAACGGTTGCAAATATCACCACGACTGATACCGGAGATTACGGGTATTTGAGAAGCAGGAATGCTTTAAAAATATTACTGGTATGTGTGCTCGTTGTAATTTTCATTTTATCCATCCGTCACACTCATGCATAACTTGACCTTTTGTTAAATCAGGATTTGGATTATAAATTCGGAGTAGTGCCCAAGGGCATTAACGTTCCCGGAGTACCATCATCTTAAGGAGTCAATAAAACATATTCTAAAAAATAGACAACCACATATATCTATATAACCTGCATCACTATCCTTTTTTTTTATTTCACTATTTATACTTCATATACATTTATAATACATATATATATCTACATATACATTATATTATAGACTAAATAACGTTTGTAATTATTTAATCACTAACTATTAGATTTAAGAGACGTTGGGAGGATTACATATATTTATGGGATACGAAACGATTAAGGGATTCTGGGGGATTCGAAGTTGCTACGTATTTTCATTTTATAGCAATGAAATTGTATTATGTATGCATGTACAATCATCAATCATCGAATTGAACGGGATTACCATAAAAACACAGATTTCTCCCATCACGATATAAAATGTAATCAAACATGTATGGCAAAAAGATTCTCCGAGCATTAGAAATCTTAGCATCAATCAATTTTTCGACCAATAAAGAAACATTCGGGCAGAACGCCACCGGATAACTGAAATCGTTTCTGCCGGGTGCGACTTATCATACGCCCATGCATCTAGCCGTCATCCTCACCATGCAGCAATGGTGCATACTGCTCAACGACGATGTTACGTTGAGATCTCGCTGCCTGTGATAAACTTCCGCCGTAGTTAATCCAAATGACAAGTAAGATCACGGACATGGTAACCGAGAGCACCGTGCACTGAATGGATATGTGTCTGACTTCACGTTGTTGAACCGCAATCGCGAACAAAACCCTATTTCGTATTCGCATGTGTCCGAATATAAATAAGTGAATGCATATCTTAGCATACAAAGAACACATACCATGCAATCGCGGCACCCATGACACCATCCCTTCTGCCTCCACTCCAGATGCCAGTTACGGTCCACGCCATCCCGAAGATCGCCAGAAG